TTTTTCTGCTCTGTCCTCAGTTTTTCCAGATGCTGCAGTCGTATCTGGACGGTCGGGAAGCTCAGGGCGGGAGCAGAAGGATGAACATGAAGGAGGACCGGAACAGCAAAATGAACGCTGCCTTCGACAGATACAGCAACTTCCTCCACAACAGCATTTTGGACATTTAGTTCAGTTAAACTGTGTAACTGTTCCAGTAATGTGATGTAATAATGATACGTGTTATGACTGTATGTATAAACCATGTTCCTCACTTCACTGTCTGATTAGCGTCTGTGTCATTTGGATGGAAAATCATGGCATATAGGCACATCACATCACACACATCGTTAACCTGTATTTAATTCAGCATACCTTTAATATCATTACATTAAATTATTATACTACCTGCAATTCGTTTGATAATCATTTTAAGAGATACAAATACCTGAGAAACTAGAGCAAAAAATAAAGGGGAGGTGTTTCTAATAAAGTAGCCAGTTAGTGTTAGCACAAGGTGGGTGTTTCTTATAAAGTGGCCAGTTAGTGTAAGCACAAGGTAGATGTTTCCAATAAAGTGGCCAGTGCATGGAAGTGCAAGGTAGGTGTTTCTAATAAAGTGTCCAGTGAGTGGAAGCACAAGGTAGATGTTTCTAATAAAGTGGCCAGTGAGTGGAAGTACAAGGTAGGTGTTTCTAATAAAGAGGCCAGTGAGTGGAAGTAAAGGGAGGTGTTTCCAAACAAGTGGCCAGGAAGCACAAGGTAGATGTTTCCGATAAAATGGCCAGTTAGTGGAAGAACAAGGTAGGGGTTTCTAATAATCTGTCCCGTTAGGGGAAGTACAAGGTAGGTGTTTCCAATAAAGTGGCCAGTGCGTGGAAGCACAAGGTGGGTGTTTCTAATAAAGTGGTCAGTTAGGGGAAGTACAAAGTGGGTGCTTCTAATAAAGTGACCAGTTGAAGCCCAAGGTAGGTGTTTCCAATAAAGTGGCCAGTAAGTGGAAGCACAAGGTAGGCATTTCTAATAAAGTGGCCAGTTAGGGGAAGTGCAAAAGAGGTGTTTTCATTAAAGTGGCCAGTTAGTGGAGGAACAAGATAGGTGTTTCTAATAAAGTGGCCAGCAAAAGGGTGGGCCTCTTTTGAACTAAAGCAGGCATTTCAAACCCTGTCACCTTTGAACACCTAGCTCACAATAATGTTCTGTTACCCTTAAAAATGCACCCAAAATATGTTTGAATGGCTTTATTGATTCATAATATAAAACACAGGCAGTACTTAATTGGTCCCCAAGGTGGCAGCAGTGCTTCATTTACAGCACCGGGGTGTAACCAGCTTTAGGTGTTACCTAATCTCAAAAAAAAGACAAGCACACATTTTTCCATGAGAGGCCTTAAAGGGTGGCAAATAGGAGAGGAGTTACAACAAAGCGTGGCTCATCAGGGAGTGGATTAAATTAAAAGTTAATTAAATCCTACAGATTTTATTTGGGGCTTATAGAATTAATCTGTTTCATATATTCCTCCTCTTTTACCTCACAGCCTATCAGCCTATAAGCATTAGCAATTAGCACTGTGCTAACTGCATGGCTAAAACATCACTGTGTGGAGTCGTTCAGTGTCTCTAATAGACTTGATGATATTGTTTCTGACTCACTGTTATCTATAAACATGGACCAACATATAGTAGCATAGCTAAAAACACATTTTGTATGTTTATTTACTTAATCTATTGCTTTAACCCTTACAGAAATCTGATGTATGGCCATATACACGCAGGTATATATTTCAAAAATAAATGTACATATATGTTGTGTACATATATGTAAGTATATATGGTCACATATGCATAATATATGGATCATACCTATAAATAGGGGTGGGAATCTTTAGGGCACCTCACAATTCGATTCGATTACGATTCAGAGGCTGTGATGCGATTATAAAACGATTATCGATGCATCTTTTTTTTCTATACAGGATTTCTATTTTCTCACTGTGTAACTTGGTAGTTTTAAAGCAAAGTATTTGTAATGATCCATAATGAATTTACTTCCAATATCTTTTATTAATAAGTCAAATGGAAGTGATGTGGTGAGTGAACTGGAAGGCTCTCATTCACTCCTCTGTTTGGAGCACATGAGACGCTGCTGCCACTCATCTGTGATAAAATCCGCAGTTACGGTGAAATAAGATCCAGTGGTGATGGATGACCATGCAGCACGTTACAGCCGTCCTGCCCGATTTATTCAGCGATTTCATAACTTAGGTCTTGGTGTTGTAGAGAGTGGGGGGGGGTCGCTATGTCAGTAAAATATCTTCGGGTACAGGGACGCTGTATCTCGACTCCAAAGTGCGCAACATAGCGAGAAAACTATGGTTCTCAACGACTGAGTACGGATGAAAATCCTTGGCAATAGAAGTTGCGATAGAGTTTGTAGTTCGCTTCGTCCTTTTATGTGTGCAGCAGTTACATTCTGGCCCCTCAGGCACCATTTAAGGTGGAACGGGAAAATTAGAACAAGAAGCTGGCGAATGAGAAAGCGACTTCAGCCTCGTAAAAAGTTGAACGTTGAGAGACATTTTACAAGAAACTGTTCTACTTTTGAGGAAAAGTTTCCTGCCGGAGATGTGAGAAAAGCAGCTGTAGCTGAGCTAAAGCTTAAAGCAGAGCAGAGTAAGTCATTTATATTATATTTTTACCCTATAATAGGACATTAACACATACTGAGACATATTTACAGCCAAGACGGTAAAATGGACTCAAAGTGGTTTGATTTTTGTTGAAAGGACAAAAAGGCTCTTATTAACATTTGGGTTGCGACCCCTGCACTAGCTTTTAATGTAGTGTGCCACCACAGACTGTCCGGGTGCTGCACGTCTGCACGTTGCAAAGTTCCACCTTTTGCGTTCCGTCAACATTACGTTATCAAATAAAATGTAGAAAATCGATTTTTGACATTTGTGAATCCATTCAGAGTCGTTCACGTCCGCATCGCGATGCATCTAAGAATCGATTTTTCCCCACCCCTACCTATAAACATACAGAGTTATACACTATTTGACACAATATTTTGCTTTTGGGTTTCATCATTTTATTTTCCTCTAAACTATTTTGGCACAAAATGAACTTAATAGGTATTCTGCACACTGGATTTAAGGGATGTCCATATATGCTAATATATGTCATCTATTTAAAATCCATATATTTCCATATATCAGATTTCTGCAGAGGGAAAACTGAAACCATAAAGAACAAAAAACAAGTGCACACAAATGACAAAATTCACTCAAATCAGCATGTTTAATAAAACATTTCTTACAGACGTGTGATTTTGAGCTGCATATGGCACCTTCAGCTTATTTAGCAGACCTGGACACATTCACTGCTGCAGTGTGATACAGTAAGTGCTACAGCTACACGCTTTCTGCTCCCTTTTGCTCAGTTTGACTGCAAAAGTACAATTAACACAATAAGACTGTTCGGTTAGCTTGCGTTTCCCTGTTCCCGGCTAACATGGCACGCTAGTACAGACAGATTGGAGCTGAATGGAGCTGACTGTCAGTATGGTACACTGTACAGAGCACTGTCAGGGTTAGTGAAGGGGTAATGAGTCGGGCTGGTTACTGAAATTCAAAGGTTTTATGGCACTGAGCAAATTATTTCAATACTACACTGCAAAACATCGTATCTTAGCAAATGAAATCGCCTTAAATCCAGGCTTAATATCTAATTTCTCATTTTAAGATGGTTGTCGGAACACTGAGTGTGTTTACATGCAGTCAATCATCCGATAAATGCAGAAAATCTGATTTTGTCAGTAATCCGATCAGCACGTTTAGATGCACTTGGGTAATCAGATAAACAGGAAACTCTGAGTCTACATGAGTCAGACAGTAATCAGATTTCTGCTTTACAACCAGCCAATAAACTCACAGAAGACGACGTGACGTAAACGTAACGGAAATCTCAAACTTCATGTTGCGGCTTTTTTTAAACGCCGCGCCGCTTTACCTGAAAAAATGAACGTACATCAAATCCTTCATTTTGTCAAGAATGTATTTGGTTTCAGCGTCGCTCCAAAAGTGTTTTGCTGCTCACTTATTTCCGGTACCAACGTCTGTTTTCATGCTCAGACTGAGAAATTCGAAAGAAATCAGAGTAAGAGCACTGAGAAATCTGATTACGGAGCTCACATTCAGCCTCTTTATCTGATTTCTTAATCGGATTCCTAGATTGGAGTGTAGTGTTTACATGCTAATTTGAATAATCGGATAACTGCAGAAATGATTGATTATTGGATTATTGAGTGCATGGAAACGCACTCATTATAAGATTAACTTACTTCTAGATTTTTCTCACTATATTTGCAGGTGATGTTGCTTGTTTCAAGCATATTTCTTAAAACAAGCCAATATTGTGAGATAATTTATAACTTTACAATTTTGCGCAAAACTAGGAAAAAAGTCTAGAAATAAGTTTAAAAATTTTCTAATATTCCTACAACCATCTTAAAATGACAAATATTAGATATGTAGACCAGGGTGCGCACCGATTATGAATTTTTATGCTTCTCATTCAGATTTCTTCCCAGCCAAATTGGCTGATTTGTTTTTTTAGTATTTTTCTTCATTAACCGAAGCTGAAACTTTGTGGGTTAAACAAACACCAGAAATACAGAACCACATTATCAGCACTTTCTATCCAAATTTAAAATAAATAACATTATTTCTCTGTAATGCGTCAAACTGGCAGCTCACAAATGACTCTCTCTGAAACGCTGCCGACATTCTTAAAAAAAGGTGGTTCTTCAAGGGTTCTTTAGCGAAGAAAACGGGTTTATTTAGAAAAAGGTTAAAGGGTTAAAGGGTTCTTTGCATCATGATAGGGTTTTTTCAAATGATGGGCAATGTGCATGAATGTGCTGTAGATGGTTCTATACAGAACCTTTTTATAATGGGTTCTACATAGCACTCAAAGGGGTTTTTTTGTTACAAGCTAGACATCGTAACAATAGAAGAACCCTTTTGGGAGTTATATAGAATCGTTTTCAAAAAGGTTCTATATAGAACCATATACAGCACATTCTCCATCAATCTAAAGAACGCTTTCATGATGCAAAGAAACTTCTAATCATGCAAAGGGTTTTCATGGTGTTCATGGTTCTGTAAAGAACCCTTGAAGAACCATCTTCTTTAATAGTGTGCACTCTTAAAGAAGATGATTCTTCAAGGGTTCTTTAGCAAAAAGACTATGGTTCTTTATAGAACCACAAACACTCAAAGAACACTCTTCATATTGATGGAGAATGTGTTGTATAGGTTCTATGTAGCACCAGGGGTTCTGCTACTGGTATGATGTCAAGCTTGTATACAATAGAAAAACCCTTTTTCAAAAAGGGTTTATACCATATACAGCAGGATTCTGTAAGTGTTTGTGGTTCTATAGCTTCTATAGAACCATAGCCTTTTTGCTAAAGAGCCCTTGAAGAACCATGGACACTCAGAGAACCCTTTGCATGATTAAAACTTTCTTTGCATCGTGAAAGCGTTCTTTAGATTGATGGAGAATGTATATGGTTCTATGTAGACCCTTTTTGAAAAGGGTTCTATACAGCACCAAAAAGGGTTATTCTATTGTATACAAGCTTGACATCATACCAGTAGGAGTACCCTTGGTGCTACATAGAACCTATAGAACACATTCTCCATCAATCTGAAGAACTATTTCACCATGCAGAGAACCATCCAAATATGAAATGGTTCTTTGAGTTTTTGTGGTTCTATGTAGAACCACTGTCTTTACTAAAGAACCCTTGAAGAACGATCCTTTTTAAGAGTGTATTTAGCATAAAATAAAAAAAAGTACGAGGCAACTGGCTGTTTAGCACAATGACTCGTTTATAATTGTGCTATGATATTTGCTTAATATTCCCACACTGTATAAATCAACACTGATAAAATACAAACAATAAACCAGCCAAATTCCCAAAATGTTCCAAAATCTTGGCTGCTGATTGGCTGTATAAATTACGTTCCGTATGCGCGCTAGTTCTCGACTAGTCTGCAGTTAATCCTGTGCTTGCTCCTGGTTTAAGCCACGCCCACTTATGGTTTGTAATTTAAAGGTATCATTCAGGAATCGAATCAAACTGACAGTACTGGTATTAGAACCGAAACGTTCTGATCAATGCCCAGCCCTGGTAATGGGTGACCCCTCAGCTGTGATGATTAGCAGCAAAATAAAAGTCATTAAGGCAAACGATTCAAGCTTATTGCCCTGAACAGTCAAAGCTCTGTAACTCTCCCTTCTTCATCAATGGACCAATGAGACCAAAGCTTCTGAAGAACATCTTTACAAATATACAAATATTCCATCTGTCCACAGGTTTTATATCTCTCGTGAGGCTGGACACGCTTTACAGAACGCTGGTAAAATCCCATTCAGCCTAATGAGAAACTGTAGAACAGACTCAGTTTATATCACAATACCTACATTTAGAGTCGGTTATTCATTCAGCCTAATGAGAAACTGTAGAACAGACTCAGTTTATATCACAATACCTACATTTAGAGTCGGTTATTCATTCAGCCTAATGAGAAACTGTAGAACAGACTCAGTTTATATCACAATACCTACATTTAGAGTCGGTTATTCATTCAGCCTAATGAGAAACTGTAGAACAGACTCAGTTTATATCACAATACCTACACTTAGAGTCGGTTATTCATTCAGCCTAATGAGAAACTGTAGAACAGACTCAGTTTATATCACAATACCTACATTTAGAGTCAGTTATTCATTCAGCCTAATGAGAAACTGTAGAACAGACTCAGTTTATATCACAATACCTACATTTAGAGTCAGTTATTCATTCAGCCTAATGAGAAACTGTAGAACAGACTCAGTTTATATCACAATACCTACATTTAGAGTCAGTTATTCATTCAGCCTAATGAGAAACTGTAGAACAGACTCAGTTTATATCACAATACCTACATTAGAGTCGGTTATTCATTCAGCCTAATCAGAAACTGTAGAACAGACTGAGTTTATATCGGTTATTCATTCAAGTTGGGATAGAGTTTGTGTAGTAATTTTTGTTGTGTAATTGTGTTTTCAGAGATAAACATCTTCTTGGCTGATTTAGCAGAATTAGCTAAGTTAATGTAGCATGGCTGAATGAAGCTACTCTATCTAGCAACATTAGCAGATCTCTTATCTTCAGCTAAGCTACAGCCATCCTAGTGTTGCTAGCTAGCTGCGGTGTTGTTTTAGCCTACACAGCTAGCAACTGTAGCATGGCTGAATTTACTCTAAGGGATTTACTGATGTCGTTAGATAGCTACGTTAATGCCGTAGCCTAAAACACTGCTGCAGTATTGGATTTGCTAAGTGATTGTTGTAGTCTACACCCATAGATATACATACCTAGCTGCTGCGTTGGGCCCAGCCAGGCACGTCAACGGCGCCGCCATTTTAGGGCGGTCAACATCGCTGCTGGACTGCATTCAGTACCATTACAGAGCAGCAGGTTAATAAAGATACTGTCCAAAATTACACTATTTCAGGAATATCACACTCAGAAAGTGGGACAGGATTATATAACGGAGGGAACGCAGTGATCCACACTCATGTCTGTGTGATGCGTATTGTCTGTGTGATGTTTGTGTAGATATGGCCGTGTGGTTGGTGAAGCACAGAGAACCTGTTGATGTGATTGTTTTTCCTCTGGTTTTATATGAAGCTTATTTCATTTAATAGTCTATTCAGGATCTTAACTTGATGTAGTTGTTATTTATTTACAGTGATGGTTAAAGCTTTGTAGCAGTAAGTTATAGCATTCCTTAATCCGTGTAGATATTGATAATAGATTAACTTTAGAACCTTCTTACAAGAAGCTGAAGTTAGCATCTTATTCACAGCGTCTTGTTCAAGTTTTCCCATTCCACCTTAAATGGTGCATTTCTGGTGCCTGAAACTGCACCATTTAAGGTGGAATGGGAAAACTCAAACAAGAAGCTGGCCAATAGGAAGCCAACTTCAGCTCCAACCTTCTCACTGTGTTTTGGGGGTTTATTTTATTTTTATGTGTATTAAGATTAGAAGTGATTCACACATTGATGGAGTTACTGATGTGTCTGATTATGTTTCTCATGCTAAACTCAGTTTTTAACGTTGGGTGCAGACTGAATAAAGTAACAAAGGCTCCCGAGAGCAGCCCGTACAGCCTAGAATAATCTGTGTCTGAGGATTATAACAAAACAGATTTGGTGAAAATGGTTAGTAATAAGGAAGTTGTGGATGATTTAATCCTGAGACTCTTCGTCTCTCGATACAAGTGAATCTGTTCAGAACCGGATCTTGACCTCTCCAACATGGCGGACGCTCAGACGTATCACCTCAGATGGAGAACAACAGACAGCGCAGCATCTAGGTATGGACATCTATGCCTACAACACTAGCAACTGTAGCAGGCTGCATTTACTCCAAGGGATTATATCACAATACCTACATTCAGAGCCAGTTTATCCCTAAAACCTTTATTACATGACAAAAAAACTTTCACAGGCATACAAAAGAAATAATATTTGAAGTTAAAAACTCTACATATTTTAGTAAAAGCTGAGTGGAGCTGCAGCTTCTCATGAGGCTGAGAGGGGCTTTACTTGCGTTCTGTAAAGCTCAGCCTCACAGCAGTAGCTGTGGAAGAATGTATCTGTGGGTGGAGGCTGGATTGGCCGATTTCCCGAAGTTCACTCCAAGGAAACGAGGCATAAAGAAGATGTCACTGATATAAATCTGCAGTACGGTGCTATTCGTCCCCAGTGGAACCCCCTTTTGTGTTCTTTATACATATAACGGACTTACAGAGCCCCACACTGCTACTCTGTCCTGCTGAAAGGACGTCCTGACTGCTAGCAAGCGCTATCTATACATGCATTAGGAGCGCTCCTCACATTTAGCACTACTGGACTGTTTACATCTCTGTTTTAGCTTCATACTCAAACGTCTTACAGATGTGCGCTTCTCATAACGGCATATTTTGGTGACTTAAACACTTTACTGTTCAATTTAACAGCTGCTGTTAGCTGTTATCAAGTTATAGCTTTCCTCTATATGGATTATGTCTATGCGTTTGGTAGATAAATAGCATTTAGTAGCTAGCACAACAACACTATTGCTAATTAAAGGGGAAGTCCTCCCATTTTTCACAATTTCTGTAGAATTAAACGGTTGAGATGTAAACAGAGTCGTTCAGAGTGGTTTGGTGTGAAACGCTCCGTTCTACAGAAACTTAGAGTCAGAACTGTTCACAGTGGTGGTGATAGGAACCAGACGTCCACCTCTAAAAGCTCCCTCACAGAAAGTTCCTACATGAAATGGTTATGAATTCACTGCCTGATGACTGAGACCCTGTTCTATGATTATAGGGTACTGTGAGGCAAAATAGTCCCCAAATTTCAGATTTTCCACTATTTTCCATCATCATCATTCCATATATAAACTCAGAAGACTCGTGTAGGTTCACTGGTGGTTCTGGATAGAAAATAAAATGTCTATATCTGTGTTGTAGTCATGGCGACCCCTGGTTCCTATCACCACCACTGTAAAGACATCTGAACCATTTCACACCAAACCACCTTGAATGACATCTCAGCCACTGAATTATAAAAAAAAATCCTGTTTAAAATCTTTACTGCTGTTTCACATTATACAGAGAGCTACATGACTGCCTACCAATTGACATTAAATGGTCATAAAACGTTTCATTAAGACGCCTGCAGAATAAATTACAGCTGTAAATCCTGTGTAAGTGCCACCATTATTTGGAGCATGATGTTTTTCTTTGTTAAACTATACGGTTCCATAAACACTGTGCCTAATGATGACCGTCTGGCTCTACAGGGATAAAGACACTCCTGTTGAATCTTAACTAAGAAGCCTGGACATGACCTATTGACATTCAGCCCTGAAAACCTCCACGACCAGCACATGGTTAGCCACGCTCAGCTGCGCTGCACCACTGCTTTACAATAGCGTATTCACTCAGCTGGTCGTAACCTCTTCCAAACCATGAATGAGGAAACTGTCCAACAGAAGAGAAAAATGAAGCTCTGAATGAACAGATTTGGCACGGATTCCACAACCCTGACCAAAAACGAGGTCACAGATCTGTACAATATTTGTTACAATCATAGAGTGTGTCTTTAGAAGAGTGAAGCACTATTGGGATGAGCTTTGTTTTCCATGTGGAGGGAGTGGTGACGCAATTATTCCCAGAGTTATTTTAGTCCAAATCCTTCCTCTCAGTAACTCTTTACATCTGTAAATAATCCGTATCTACCTTAAAGTGAACTACAGAAATAGCCAGTTCATATCAGTCCTGTGTGAATTGACATGTTGGTAAATATTCTACCATATCTAGAGATGTCCCAGTCCGGCCTATCCAAGTGTATTTTAATGGAGTATTGGCCATATTAAGCCTGATCCACTTCCACCTCGTTTTCATTCTGTCTAATTTTCTCCCCAACTTTAGTCGTGAACAATTTCAACTGTAGATTAAAATTATGGATGGCTGTGCCATCTCCAGGAATTGAACATATAACCAATTCCTATTGGTCATGACTAAAATTGCGGATGGCTGTGGCATCACTGGGGACTGAAAATATAGCCAATTTCCACTGTTCATGACTATGTGGATAACTGTAGCATCCCCAGGAAATTGAACATATAATCAATTCCCACTGGTCACAACTACAATTACAGATGGCTGTGTCATCACAGGAATTGAACATATAACCAGTTCCCACTGCTCAGCTGTGGCATCACTGGGAGTTAAACATATAACCAATTACTAACTGGTCATGACTAAAACTGTGAATAGCTGTGGCATCACTGGGAAATTAACAGATAACTATTTCCCACTGGTCATGACCAAAATTATAGATATAGGCTGTGGCATCAATGGGAATTGAACACATAACCAATTCCCACTGGTCACGGATGGCTGTGGCATCATGTGGTCATCAAATCAGTAAGTAAAACTGGATCATAATCTAATGCTAGACATGATCAACATTAAATTGTCCTAAAAAATGTAGCACCTAAAAGGTACCTATTTTGGATTGAACCGATACTCAGCATTAAACTACTCAAGTTGGATGGCAGACAAAATCGGGACATCCCTGATGAGATCCTGTGAGAAAATACCCTGCGATTTTTCTTTAAGAACGGAGGCACTCGAGGAAAGTATTTATCTTTAATCTGCAGCCCTAATTTCTCTACGTACTGGACTAAAATGTACATCATTGAACACTGAACAGCCCTGAAGCCTGATTTGACGTGGTGTGTTTGACAGTTTGCTGTAAGCTCTACAGCTAATGACACACTGTGTTCGCTAAAGACGTACGATAAAATTTAGGACGTTTTCTATTCGTACGCAGCTGAAGCTGCTCATCACCCACGAAGCTGTGTTGATGTGGCAAAGAGAGGAGACCCTCCTGTTTCTGTAACTTATCGTCCATAAACGTTACAGACGTCCCGCGGTGACATTTCTCCACTGGCGTTTGTCTGGAAATCTCGCGTCCCAGTAGTTCTCCAGTCAGTCAGTGGGAGGCGCTAACGGGAACAGAATGTAGAGTCTCTGAAGGAGAAGGAGGCAGGGAGATGGACGTCCTTCTCTCTGTAGAAGGTTCTGCCGAAGATCCAACTGTGAGTCCGACCAAGAACCCTCAGAGAAGCTGCTACATCACCAGCGTCATAAGAAAAGCTCAGGTTTAACTTTGGTACGATCTGAAAACGTCAGCTGCCTTTTATGCGTACAGTACCGTTCAGAAGTGGAATCACTGTTTACATTCAGATAAAACCAGTTATGTTGCAGACAAATGTAGAAAATGAATGAAATTAACATTCAGAATGAAGTTCTAATAAGATTAATATCCAGAATGAAGCTTATAAACTGCTATTAATTATAATGCTACATTATCACTTAATAACTTCTTGCTGTTCCCAAAAAATTGAGATATTGAATAAAACATCTTTAAATACCTTCTGCTGTTCAAGTTATGGTAATTCAATCTGCACTGTGTATATAGTTACTGAACAAAATGACCAATATTAATAATATGACGAGCGATTCTGAACTTCTGAACGTTTCACTAACGTACACTACAGTTTACACTGTTTTCACCTTTATGAAGTTTTCTTATGACAGTGATGGTATGCAGCAAAGAGAGAGAGAGAGAGAGAGAGATCTAACAAAGAGCGAGTGATACTGAGAGAGAGAGACCGAAAAAAAGAGTGACACTGAGAGAGTGAGACCTTAAAAAGAGAGTGATACTGAGAGAGACCTTAAAAAGAGCGAGTGATACTGAGAGAGAGAGACCTTAAAAAGAGCGAGTGACACAGAGAGAGAGACCTTAAAAAGAGCGAGTGACACAGAGAGAGAGACCTTAAAAAGAGCGAGTGACACAGAGAGAGAGACCTTAAAAAGAGCGAGTGGCACTGAGAAAGACCTTAAAAAGAGCGAGTGATACTGAGAGAGAGAGACCTAAAAAAGAGCGAGTGACACTGAGAAAGACCTTAAAAAGAGCGAGTGATACTGAGAGAGAGAGACCTAAAAAAGAGCAAGTGACACTGAGAAAGACTTAAAAAGAGCGAGTGACACTGAGAAAGACCTTAAAAAGAGCGAGTGATACTGACAGAGAGATATTAAAAAGAGCGAGCGACACTGAGAGAGAGAGACCTAAAAAAGAGCGAGTGACACTGAGAGAGAGAGAGAGAGAGACCTAAAAAAGAGCGAGTGACACTAACTAATAGAGAGAGGAGAGAGAGAGAGAGCTCTAAAGAACTTCAGTCTTCAGTACTCCACTTCCTCCATGACCTCCATGACCACCGTCCTTGGCCCGGTCAGAATGAGGTTGCTGACCGTCCTGTAGTCCAGGTTCAGCACGTTTAGACCGTTGACCGAAACCACAAACTGACACACCTGGAGACGAGAGAGAGAGAGAGAGAGAGAGAGAGAGAGAGAGAAAGAGTGAGACAGAAAGACGAGTGAGAGTTAATGAAGTAAATCATTAGCAGAACGATGTTAGACTGACGGCTTGTAGTTTAACTGCATCAGAGCTCATCAGTGACCCATTAAAGGGCCAGTATCCTCCTTTTTATGGCACTCTATTTTCCCTCTGAGGGTCACTCATTTATATTAAACCGGCTGTGTTTGCGCCTTTAAGACTAATATACGTAGATGAGCTCTGCTCTGATTGGCTGTGCCTCATTCAAAACAGCCAGGCTGAAACACTCCTTATATCTTCAGTGTGTGGGCGGGGCTAAACATCTGTAGGCTGAATAGGTCAATTTATGTAAATGATATGAGCCCTTTAAAAGTGTTTGTGTTCATCCCCTCTGAACTCATTAAAGGGGAACTCCACCTATATTTCCAAACTTTCTGCATAATTAAATAGTTAAGATGTAAACAGAGTCACTCAGAGTGGTCTGGTGTGAAACACTCCGTTCTACACTCTTAAAAAGATGGTTCTTCAAGGGTTCTTTAGTAAAGAACATGGTTCTATATAGAAGGAGGAACACTCAAAGAACCCTTTGCATGATTAATAGGTTCTTTGCATGGTGAAATGGTTCTTCAGACTGATGGAGAATGTGTTGTATATACTTATATAGAACCTTTTAGAAAAGGGTTCTATGTAGCACCAAAAAGGTTCATCTACTGTTACAATTTCAAGTGTGTAACAATGAAAAAAGCATTTTCGGTTCTATATAAAGAACCATTTACAGCACATTCTCCATCAATCTGAAGAACCATTTTGTCATGCAAAGAACCATTTAAGCATGCAAAGCGTTTATAGTTCTATACAGAACCATTTCTTTACTAAAGAACCCTTGAAAAACCATCTTTTTTAAGTGTGTAGAGAAACTTGCCGAGTCAGAACTGTTCACAGTGGTAGTGATGGGAACCAGACGTCCACCTCTAAAAGCTCCCTCACAGAAAGTTCCTACATGAAATGGTTATGAATTCACTGCCTGATGACTGAGACACTGTTTTATGATAGTTTAGAGAACTTAAACTCCATTCATGGTGGAGGGATACATGCAGGGCACTGTGAGGCAAAATAGTCCCCAAAGAAAACTTATTATTTCAGATTTTCCACTATTTTCCATCATCAACATTCCATATAAACTCAGAAGACTCGTGTAGGTTCACTGGTGGTTCTGGATAGTAAATAAAATGTCTATATTTGTGTTGTCGTCATGGCGACCCCTGGTTCCTATCACCACCACTGTAAAGATATTTGAACCATTTCACACCAAACCACTCTGAGTCACACTGTTTACACCTCACACTGTGTTATGGGGGAGTTCTGATTATGGTATTAAAGGTTTAATACCATAACCATAACAAAACAACAATAACAAAAGTGTGATGTAACTTCTTGCTTTGTTGTGTGAAAATAAGTTAAAGCGCTCACAGCCGTGTGCAAAAGTTTGGGCACCCCTGGTCAAATGACACAAGAGAAAATAAGTACGCATCCTCTACAGATACAGACATTTAATACACAGTTATTGTTTATTTGCTGAATTTCACATACTGGGGGGGGGTTGGGGACTAAAACATTAAATGTGGCCTGTGCAAAAGTTATGGCATTTTATATATTATAATCTTTTTCCCATTTTTCTCATATAGAAAATAGAATATATATATAGAAATATAGAAACTTTTGAGTACTACATATTATAAAGTATATATATATGTACAGACAGACAGACATACACATTCACTCACACCTAGGGGCAATTTAGTATGTCCAATTAGCTTAACTGCATGTTTTTGGACTGTGGGAGGAAACCGGAGTACCCGGAGGAAACCCACGCAGACACGGGGAGAACAGGCAAACTCCACACAGATATATACATACATATCGCTGTTGTCGGAAGAAAAACTAGTATGTATAAAATGGTGACTTCACAGGAGAAGGAAAAAACCTACTTTACTTTTAATGTAAGTCAATGGAACCAGACTTTTTTCCAAGTCATTTTGAGTCGTTTCTTTTGGTCCATTCATCATGAAATTTACACACCATGTAACACGCATTTTGAAATGATGTCAAAAACTGAAAAACAACAAAAATGGAGATTCAAGGTTTTCTTCCAACAGCAGTGATATATATATATATATATATACACATATTAAATCTCGTATGTTCTCTACTGTAAAACTAGGTTAGTCTTCTCGGTCTCTTCTCTTCTGTAAGTACTCTGCAAATATTATATCCTGGCATTGATAATTGACTTGTTTTAGGCACATTTCTTACAGCAAGACAAACTGTTGTAAGAATGGTTCATTTGTAGTCAGATTAACATATCACTTTCTGAGATGGTGTATCTGTGAGTTTACTGGTGAGGATGGAGGCTGAGTTCCAATCTCAAACTACAACCTCCCCCAACTCACACACACACACACACACAGACACACACACACACACAGACACACACACACCACTTCTGGATGTAACTCTGGGCCTTCTGAGTGAGCAAACATGCTGTTATGTAATAACCTCTCATAAACGGAGGTTAAAGGGGAAGTAATACAGCTGCACAAGCAGAACAGAACCATTACACAGAGAGAGAGAGAGAGAGAGAGAGAGAGATAGAGTGAGAGAAGGAGAGAGCAGGCACATGATGTCACCTGACCCACGAACACATGAGGAGCGCTGCTGTGCGCTCGGCTGTGTCCTCGTCGGGTTATTTAAGGAAAATCGGAGCTCCAGAGTGAACGAGGTCACAATAACTCAAACAAACTGTCTTTATTTCCACACGTCTGCTCTCCCCCCTTCATCACGCTATTCCTCCTCTACGCTGCCTACAGGTGTGGTCTTTAACCCTCAGTGTAGAGTTATTACTGTCCTTTTAATACACTGTTCTAAAGTTATTCTCTTTCGGAACTCTCCTTCCGTCTTGGTGTGACTCTGGATGGCTCTCGGCTCATACTGTGAACCGCCCCGGTGGTCATTCAGTCTCTTGTCATCTCAAGGCTTGACTACTGCAACTCGCTCTTGGCTGGTTTTCCTATGTGGCCATCAGGCCTCTGCAACTCATCCAGAGTGCAGCAGCACGGCTCGTCTTCGATCTCCCAAAGTTCAGCCACGTCACCCCACTGCTGCGCCCCCTTCACTGGCTTCCTGTAGCTGCATCAGATTTAAAACCCTGACGCCTACAAAGCCAAAAACAGACCAGCCCCAACACCCTGATGGCAACGGTTAAACTCGAACTGTACCTCGAGCCCTTCGAGCTTCGAGTACAGCTCGGCTTGACCCGCCATCTTTCAAGACGCGTGGAAGACAAGCATCAAGACTGTTCTCTGTGCTGGCACCCAGGTGGTGGAACGAACTCCCACTGGCTGTCCGTACAGTAGAGTCTCTCGCGGCCTTCAAACGCAGACTGAAGACCGTCTCTTCATACAGCACTTAAATGAGCACTGAGTTAAGTATTCACTGTAATGTATTGTACAGCACTGACTGTACTGTATTGCACTGTGCTGTGTTCAACTCTGTTCCTTTTTCTCTGGGTAACAACAGGGACTTTTGTTTGTAGCAGTATCTGAGCTCAGGACTGGATTTCTCTCTAACCTATTGGTAACTAGTAAAGATACTTTCTCTGAGACAACCAAGCACTTTTTGACAGTCGCTCTGGATAAAAACGTCTGCTAAATGCTGTAAATGTAAATGTAATTACTGTCACACACAGTACTGTGCAAAAGGCACCTAAGAGCTCGCAGTTTAAAACCATTTATCTGGACAAGACCAGTAAATACAGTGTTTATCATTAGAATATATCGAAATAAACATAGGCCCTGCTGTCAGACCAAAACCTCATATCTCGATTTTCAAAAAAAACGTTTTTCAGTTTCTGCCATAATCTGAAAATGCATGTTGCTCTTTACATTCAATTCTGGTTCCTTTGACTTACATTAACAGTAAAGTACGTTTTATTCTTCTCCTGTAAAAATATCATTTTGTTCCCACAGCGACAAGAAGCACGATTAAAAGTGTGTAATGCAAGTTGAAAAGACATGCAGTGCAAAACAAGCAAAACTAAAGTTTTACAGGCAAAAACTGTTTAGTTTTAGTGTCTTCAGTGCACGAGGGATGGAAATGGATCTTTCCCTTTCGTGTTACACCCTACGTGATGCGTGTAATCTAGCCCAGCACGGTCGGCTGCTGTGCGAATACAGTATAATTTACCACAGTTTCTAACCAAAACACACTGCAAACTAAAACTGAAACTGAAGTGAAGCTCTTTTCTGAAAATAAACAACAGACATAAACCTTCTAAAGCACGATTAAAACCAAAACACTGAGTAAACATAAACACTGATGAAAATGTAAATATTTCAGATGCACTGAGCCGGTGGTCACTAACTACACTACCTTCATGCCGGCCGCAGCAGCAGGTCCACTGGGGTCAACAGCCTGAATATGGCAGGGTTTACTGCCTCTGACCACGAAGCCCCAACCTACAGCATCACCTACAATCTGAACACAAACATACAGCTGTCTTTAATACTTTATTTAATACATATAATAAGAACAAAACAACAATGACAACAAAACAACAACAATAATAATAATTATTATTATCATTATTATTATTATTACTACTATTATTATTATTATTTAAAGTGCACTTTTCATATAAGAAGCGGCTCAAAGTGCTTTATGAATGAAAAATTAAATTCACAAAGCAAAAACACAACAGAAGCAGAAAAAGATTAAAACGGAAATGTTCAAAAAATTGAAAAGTGGTAAAAAGACAAGTAAATAAAATAAACGACAACCGTATTTTAATATGTCTCGTATGTATTATATGATATGTGTGTGTATATGTGTAATATATATGTGTAATAGTATGTCCAATACGTATTACATATTTGTAATCATGTATCATTCCAGCAGAAACATAACACTGATGTAATAACGAGAACGCTGCTGGATAAGTTCTCCTTCTGTGAATGTATGTGTGGCTTACAGTGAATGTCTTCTTTATGAAAGCTCCTCCTGGACTCTGCAGCTCCTCTGGGCTGACCTGCCTCTTCAGCACTGTAACACACACACACACACACACACACACACACACACAACAAGACAAGTTTGTTTTATACTAGTAAACACAAGTTTCCTATTTTATATGTTTTATATATACACCGATCAGTCATAACATTATGAGCACCTCCTTGTTTCTACGCTCACTGTCCATTTTATCAGCTCCACTTACTATATAGGTGCACTTTGTAGTTCTACAGTTACAGACTGTAGTCCATCTGTTTCTCTGATACTTTGTTAGCCCCCTTTTACCCTGTTCTTCAGTGGTCAGGACCCCCATGGACCCTCACAGAGCAGGTAGTATTTGGGTGGTGGATCATTCTCAGCACTGCAGTAACACTGACGTGGTGGTGGTGTGTTAGTGTGTGTTGTGCTGGCACGAGTGGATCGGACAGCAGTGTTGTGGAGTTTTAAACACCTCAGTGTCACTGCTGGACTGAGAAGAGTCCACCAACCAAAAATATCCAGCCAACAGCGTCCGTGGGCAGCGTCCTGTGACCACTGATGAAGGACTAGAGGATGACCAACACAAACTGTGCGGCAGCAGATGAGCTATCGTCTCTGACTTTACATCTACAAGGTGGACCGACAAGGTAGGAGTGTCTAATAGAGTGGACAGTGAGTGGACACAGTGTTTAAAAACTCCAGCATCACTGCTGTGTCTGATCCACTCGTACCAGCACAACACACACTAACACACCACCACCACATCAGTGTTACTGCAGTGCTGAGAATGACCCACCACCCAAATACTACCTGCTCTGTGAGGGTCCATGGGGGTCCTGACCACTGAAGAACAGGGTAAAAGGGGGCTAACAAAGTATCAGAGAAACAGATGGACTACAGTCTGTAACTGTAGAACTACAAAGTGCACCTATATAGTAAGTGGAGCTGATAAAATGGACAATGAGCGCAGAAACAAGGAGGTGGTCATAAGTATATGTATATGTGTGTGTGTGCGTATACATACATAAATGTATACGTTTGTGTGTGTTTTAAACAGTCCACGCTCAGCTACAGTCAGTCTGTAATCAGGCTGTAACAGGGCGTGGTGGGTCTGTTAGTGGTGATATTAGTCGGTCAGTAATCTAAAGGCTGAGTCACTGCTGTGCTGCACTCTTAATCCACTCTGCTCCTTCTGCAGCTCCAACGCAGGCTGAGATCTGACTCCATGATCAATCTGCTGCTGAGTCACAGCGCAGACTCTAATACCCACTACCCAGTCCAGCCTCCCTGCTGCGGAGGGTCAGGAGGACTCAATTACTGCCAGATACATTCGCAGACATAGAAGAAAAGCAGACTAAACACAATACTAAAAGTCATGCAACATGCACTGTAGGCCGATATTAAAAGAGCCCATTTCCTCCTTATATTATTACGTTTTATTGTCTTCCACTGAGCTCTCACCCTCAAAAAGGGCTCTTCAGTAGAGACAGTGGTTCTGTATAGAACCAAATCCATAAGGTCTCTGAGTTCTGCACAGGCTCCTCAGATGTGCAGCTGCTGTGAGTGTGCGGAGCTTCTGGTTTGGGAGCAGTGCGGTTTGAGGAGCTCTGATTCTGCACTGTTTAATTTGCTCTTATTTATTCGGGGTGGAGAGCTGAGGCATGCTGGGATTGGAGGAGCAGACAGACCAATCAGAAGGGAGCACTCAGCTGCCAAAACGAGGCACATGCACTCATCACACTGCTGTTTAATGTCAAAGCTTACCAGAGCTGACGATGCAGTGAGCGACCAGGAGCTCCTCATTCCTCTGACCAAACACTCTAAACATTAACCCCTTAACGTCTGTGTGTGAGTCTGCACTTCAAAGAGTTTATACTGGATACTGAATCATTCATAGTAGATGCTGAATAATTCACAATAGATACTGAATAACTCATAGTGGATACTGAATCATTTGTAGTAATTACTGAATAATTCATAGTAAATACTGAATAATATATAGCAGATACTGAATAATTCATAGTAGATCCTGAATAGTATGTAGCAGATACTGAATAATTCATAGTAGTTACTGAATAATTTGTAGATAATACTAAAAAATTCACAGTAGATACTGAATAATTTACAGTAGATACTGAATAAATTTGTAGTAGATACTGAATTATTCATAGCAAATACTGAATAATATATAACAGATACTGAATAATTCATTGTAGATGCTGAATAATTTACAGTAGATACTGAATAATTTGTAGTAGATACTGAATTATTCATAGTAAATACTGAATAATTCACAGTAGATACTGAATACCTCATTGTAGATACTGAATAATTCATAGTAGATACTGAATAATTTACAGTAGATACTGAATAATTTACAGTAGATACTGAATAATTCATAGTAGATACTGAATAATTTACAGTAGATACTGAATAATTCATTGTAGATACTGAATAATTCACAGTAGATACTGAATAATATATAGTAGATACTGAATAATTTGTAGTAGATACTGAATAATTTGTAGTAGATACTGAATTATTCATGGTAAATACTGAATAAGTCATAGTAGATACTGAATAATTCATAGAAGATACTGAATAATTACTAGACGAGACTGAATAATCTACAGTAGATACTGAATAACTAACAGTAGTTACTGAATCAGATTACTAAGCGAATGACTCTGATTGGCTGAAGGGGTTAAGGAGAGGCTGGAATGCTCTAAATGAGAGGAGTGTGCTGTGCTTTGGCGTGTGGGAGGTTCTGACTCTCCTCGGGGGGCTGAGCTGCAAACAGCGAAGCTACAGAGGAGCTATTATACAGTCAGGGTCACAAGAAAACTTCTCTTTTCTCTATTTTTACACTAGTTGAAAGCACAAGTTGGCTTTGACACTGTGTGAACATCCAGGGATGAAGGGACAGTCAGTGGGCAGTATACGTATCTCAGTGGGCAGCGCTGGACGGATCACCGTCACACTCCTACTTCAGTGCTCTGGTTTAAACAAAAGGTTTAAAATCTTGAAACACAAGAAAACTGTGGTTCAAAGGTTTGAGGTCACCGATTTCATTCATATGAACCAATTTTTTGAACATACATCTATAAAATGACTCTACGATGAAACTAATTTCTTAAAAGTTTCAAACAGTTTGTGTGAAGCTGTAAAAATGAAGATGTTTTGGATGATAAACAGAGCCGTAAGTGATACATACAGCACTGAGAGCGAACTTATAAAGAAACCGGCGCCCACTCATATTTAAAAAGAGACTAAATCTCACTAATTAAGCAGCTGTTCATATATTCTTAAAAAAGACGGTTTTAATAAAGACAACGGTTCTATTCAGAACCACGAGTTCTGTATAGAACCACTTGCATACTTACTTGGTTCTTTGTATGGTGACATATCTCTTCTGATTGACGGAGAGTGTGTTGTGTATGGTTCTATAGGGAAGCTTTTTGAAAATAGGGTTCTGCTATTGGTACAAGCTTGACATTGTAACAATAGCAGAACCCTTTCTGGTGCCGTATAGAACCATATTCAACACACTCTCCGTCAATCTGAAGAGCCATTTCACAATGCAAAGAACCATTTAAGCATAAAGTGATTTCATAGAGAACTTATGGTTCTATACAAATAAATAGAGCCATTCCTTTTATAAGGAACCCTTGAAGAACCATCTTTTAAGAGCATATAAGTCCATCATCCCACCAAATATCTGTGGTTTCTGAACTTGTGCACAGTGGACTGTGGAGCTTCAACGAACCCCTGGCTCAGCCTCAAGCGGGAGGGGAAGTTGTTCAGTGGGAAAAAGGGCCGAGTCCACTTGGGATTACTGACAACATTTTCATGGTCTAATTACAGTGCGGTGGAGCTGGGGGGGGTGCTAATAAAGCATTTACGACCTGAAAGCAAACACAGTTCCTGACCGACGTAGGCAGCGCTGTAAAATCCTGACCAGAGGAAACAGCAGCCTCAGCGCTGAGAGCACTGTTAGAGTCCAAACCTCACGGCTGCAGCTAACGATTGTTTCTAGAAGTGATAAATCTATAGGCTGTTATTTGATTAATTAACTAATCAAATCATTATTTTCCATCATTTCCTTTCACTTTGCTCCTTCACAGCGCCAACCAGAAGCCTGGGCACTTTCTATTTCCCCCATTATATCAAAAACATGACTGCTAAACACCAGGGGAGGCTAGAATGGGGGTGCATGGAGCTAAACGGCTAAAACACCTCTAATTTTAGAGAGGAGACGGATGGATTTCACTAAAAAAGCAGAGAAAACGCACCAGTGTATTTTCTTTTTTCTGCTAGGACGCTAGAATTACTGCTACTGAGCGTTGGTTGGTTAGCATGACTGCTAGTGAGAGCTGATTGGTTAGCATTACTGCTACTGAGAGCTGATTGGTCAGCATTACTGCTACTGAGAGCTGATTGGTCAGCATTACTGCTACTGAGAACTGAGTGGTCAGCATTACTGCTACTGAGAGCTGATTGGTCAGCATTACTGCTACTGAGAGCTGATTGGTCATCATTATTGCTACTGAGAGCTGATTGGTTAGCATTACTGCTACTGAGAGCTGATTGGTCAGCATTACTGCTACTGAGAGCTGATTGGTTAGCATTACTGCTACTGAGAGCTGATTGGTTAGCATTACTGCTACTGAGAGCTGATTGGTTAGCATTACTGCTACTGAGAGCTGATTGGTCAGCATTACTGCTACTGAGAACTGAGTGGTCAGCATTACTGCTACTGAGAGCTGATTGGTCAGCATTACTGCTACTGAGAGCTGATTGGTCATCATTATTGCTACTGAGAGCTGATTGGTCAGCATTACTGCTACTGAGAGCTGATTGGTCAGCATTATTGCTACGGAGAGCTGACTGGTCAGCATTACTGCTACTGAGAACTGACTGGTTAGCATTACTGCTACTGAGAACTGAGTGGTCAGCATTACTGCTACTGAGAGCTGATTGGTCAGCATTACTGCTACTGAGAGCTGATTGGTCATCATTATTGCTACCGAGAGCTGATTGGTCAGCATTACTGCTACTGAGAACTGACTGGTTAGCATTACTGCTACTGAGAACTGACTGGTTAGCATCACTGCTACTGAGAACTGACTGGTTAGCATTACTGCTACTGAGTGCTGATTGGTTAGCATTACTGCTACTGAGTGCTGATTGGTTGGCATTACTGCTACTTAGCGCTGATTGGTTAACATTACTGCTACTGAGAACTGACTGGTTAGCATTACTGCTACTGAGTGCTGATTTGGTTTCACTAAAAAAGCAGAGAAAACGCACCAGTGTATTTTCTTTTTTCTGCTAGGACGCGAGAATTACTGCTACTGAGCGTTGGTTGGTTAGCATCACTGCTACTGAGAGCTGATTGGTTAACATTACTGTTACTGAGTTCAGTAGAAGCCATATCGCCCCCTACACTTCCTGTAGTGTATTACAGTCTGTCAGAGTGACTGTGTGGATCATATGAACATTATAGAGGCTTTTTAAATGAAACAGTAGAAGCCATATCGCCCCCTACGCTTCCTGTAGTGTATTACAGTCTGTCAGAGTGACTGTGTGGATCATATGAACATTATAGAGCTTTTTAAATGAAACAGTAGAAGCCATATCGCCCCCTACGCTTCCTGTAGTGTATTACAGTCTGTCAGAGTGACTGTGTGGATCATATGAACATTATAGAGGCTTTTTAAATGAAACAGTAGAAGCCATATCGCCCCCTACGCTTCCTGTAGTGTATTACAGTCTGTCAGAGTGACTGTGTGGATCATATGAACATTACAGAGCATTTTTTTACTGTTGGTGCTCAGGAATGCACAAAAACAAGACTGTTAACACGGTTTTGTGGTCTGTAGTTTGATTTTCTAAAATATATAAAACTTTATCAAACATGACTGTTACAGAATTTGCTGGCGGACTGTTTGTGTGATACAGCTGCTTCATGTTAGCCAGATGGTCCCAATAGTGACAGCAGGGCTGCCCCAGGAATGTTGCTAGCATTTCTAATGACTTTTAGCTAACTCAGTTATTTCCAGCTGTCTACAGTGCAACTGAAACAAGAAGGTCCAGCACCTCACGCTCAGCTGCAGCGGCGTTCATAGGCACTAAAGAAAACAAAGGAATTGAGCTTAATGTAATGCAACACTTAATCATTAATCCAGAGGACTTTTTCAGGGAGGATGAAGGACTGTAGGGTTTGTGAACAGGGACTGAGTGTAAGGGTGAGTTAGTCGTAAAGAGATGTTTAGGGCTCCATTACCTGATTTGGGGTTGCAGAGTACCGGGGGGCTGCTGCTGAGGGTGGGACTGCTGCTATAGTAGCCACTGCTGCCACAGCTACTGCTCATACTGCTCCGCCTTACGCAGACCACCCTGATCTCCTTAGTGGGGCTCACTGGAGAGAGAGAGAGAGAGGGAGAGAGAGAGAGAGAGAGAGAGAGAGAGAGAGAGAGCAGAGGTTAGCATTACTGCTACTGAGTGCTGATTGGTTAACATTACTGCTACTGAGTGCTGACTGGTTAGCATTACTGCTACTGAGTGCTGATTGGTTAACATTACTGCTACTGAGTGCTGATTGGTTAGCATTACTGCTACTGAGCGCTGATTGGTTAACATTACTGCTACTGAGTGCCGACTGGTTAGCATTACTGCTACTGAGAGCTGTTGGTTAGCATTACTCCTACTGAGTGCCAATTGGTTAGCATTACTGCTACTGAGTGCTGATTGGTTAGCATTACTGCTACTGAGTGCTGATTGGTTAGCATTACTGCTACTGAGTGCCGATTGGTTAGCATTACTGCTACTGAGCGCCGATTGGTTAGCATTACTGCTACTGAGCGCCGATTGGTTAGCATTACTGCTACTGAGCGCCGATTGGTTAGCATTACTGCTACTGAGTGCTGACTGGTTAGCATTACTGCTACTGAGTGCCGATTGGTTAACATTACTGCTACTGAGTGCCGATTGGTTAGCATTACTGCTACTGAGTGCCGATTGGTTAGCATTACTGCTACTGAGCGCCGATTGGTTAGCATTACTCCTACTGAGTGCTGACTGGTTAGCATTACTGCTACTGAGTGCCGATTGGTTAACATTACTGCTACTGAGTGCTGATTGGTTAGCATTACTGCTACTGAGTGCTGACTGGTTAGCATTACTGCTACTGAGTGCTGATTGGTTAACATTACTGCTACTGAGTGCTGACTGGTTAGCATTACTGCTACTGAGTGCTGATTGGTTAACATTACTGCTACTGAGCGCTGATTGGTTAGCATTACTGCTACTGAGTGCTGACTGGTTAGCATTACTGCTACTGAGAGCTGATTGGTTAGCATTACTCCTACTGAGAGCCTATTGGTTAGCATTACTGCTACTGAGTGCTGATTGGTTAGCATTACTCCTACTGAGTGCCGATTGGTTAGCATTACTGCTACTGAGTGCCGATTGGTTAGCATTACTGCTACTGAGCGCTGACTGGTTAGCATTACTGCTACTGAGTGCCGATTGGTTAGCATTACTCCTACTGAGTGCTGACTGGTTAGCATTACTCCTACTGAGTGCTGACTGGTTAGCATTACTGCTACTGAGTGCCGATTGGTTAACATTACTGCTACTGAGTGCTGATTGGTTAGCATTACTGCTACTGAGTGCTGACTGGTTAGCATTACGGCTACTGAGCGCTACTCTGCTATGCATGTACAGCAAAAGCCCTGAGACACTGGAATCTCCAGCTTCACCTGAAAGCTGATCTGAAAGCCCTGAGTGTTTTTTTTTCTTGCGCACTTCTCCAAACTAAAGCTGCTTAGTCTCAAAACAATCAGCACCACCATGCAGGCAGAAGAACGTTCAACAGCAGAGCAAAGCACTGTTTTCATTTCTCATAACATGCTTTAAAAACTCGCGGCGCGTGCCAGAGCTGTAAAAACAGCAAGGCAGGAGATAGTGGCTCAGTAAAACAGGCTTAACAAGCTCAGTCACGAAATTGCACTCTAAGTTTATCTTTATGCACAGCAAAACTGTTACTTCATAGCAGTAAAATATGAAACACGTTTCACTCTCAGCTCTTATTCAGGTCCCAAATCTGGAGCGCCGAGTTCTCCTATAGTGGAACTTGAGTACATCCAGCACTTGTCAGTATAGGAACTGCAGTTCTTCTCTTTTTGGTCTAAAGTAAGTGCGGGACCACTTTAGAATAAGGCTACCCTCATAAGGTTTATGAATGGTTTAAAATTAGTTCATTAATGGTTATTAATTAGGTCATAAACACCTTAAAAATCATTAGTAAACAGTTATAACAGATTAATAAAAATGGAAAAACGTGAGCTGTTATATCTGATGAAGCTGACACTTATAATGCTCACTGATGCAGAAGACAAAGTAAGACCAGCAAGAACTGCGGTTTATCCACACACTTAAAAATGATGGTTCTTTAAGGGTTCTTTAGGGAAAAAAATTGCTCTATATAGAGCCACGAACACTCAAAGTAGCCTGTACATGATTAAAGGGTTCTTCTCATCATGAAATGGTTCGTCAGATTGATGGAGAATAGAACCTTTTGAAAAGGGTTCTATATAGCATCAAAAAGGGTTCTTTTATTGTAACAAGCCTGACATCACAACAATAGAGGATCCTTTTGGCGCTATTTAGAACCCTTTTCAGCACATTCTCCATTACTCTCCAGAACCCTTTCATGATGCAAAGAACCCTTTAATAATGCAATGGGTACTTGGAGTGTTCCTGGTTCTATATAGAACCATTTTTCTACTAAATAACCCTTAAAGAACCATCACTGTTGGCCTTTTTTGTTATAACTGCTTATTAATGATTTTTAAGGTGTTCATGGCCTAATTAATAACCATTAATAAGCTGATTTTAAACCATTCATAAACACTTTATAAGGGTAGTCTTATTTTAAAGTGGTACCATAAATGCAGTAGCTCCAAAGTGAGATTAGTGAACAGCAGTGAGGCAGAACAGGAGCACAACAGAGTGAAATTAAACTTTTTTTGTTTTGTTTAATTTTCATTAATATACTTGAGTAGAGGTGAAAGAATTAGAAACTACTCAGAGAAGCACACATCCATCAGAACTGTTATTAACTATAGTAAACTATAGTAGTTAATGTGTTACTAATCATCTCTGGGTTTCCAGAAATGTGCTCAATCATTTTCACCTGTAAATGAGTGATCTGCTAGTAGAGCCATGCTTTGTGCAAGTCTGCACATGTCGCTGTCTAATACAGGCATCGAAGTAGAGCAGTGGCAGACAGTGACTATTAGAGCTGTCAGTTTGGGCCAAAAATGTCAAAATGTGGCCTAAAAGTTTGAAAAAATTTGACAATAATGCTAATTTCAGCTAGCGCCTCTAATGGATTTCTAATAGTATGTTAGCGCTAAGCTACTGCTGGTGCACATGAACAGTTTTCCGCCATTTGTAGATTAAACACGGGCATTCGAAGCTTGTAAAAGACATTCCATTTTTTATTTGACACTTTGACATATATTTGCATATATTCGCATACATATTAACATATTAATATATTAACATATTTTCCATTCCTAACAACCACCTGGAACCTGTTTAGACTACAGCTCATATTCACAGTAAGAGACATATCTAGAACTTCCAGAAAGAATACAGTGACAATTTTTGCTTGCAAAATTGTCCCAAAACGTAATTCCTTTGATAACCAGTACAACTACATCTACTGCCTAGATACCAAGATTACTTAGTAACTAGCTAGCCAAGTCTATTTAGCTACAGTAGCTGCATAAGCTAACTTTAGTTGTTGTCTAAAACAGGCATTGAAGTAGAGCAGTGGTGAACAGTGACTATTAGAGTCCTCAGTTCGGGCCAAAAATGTCAAATTGTGGCCAAAAACTTTTTTTTTCTACAATAATGCTAATTTCTGCTAGCAGGATTTCTAACAGTATGTTTGCGCTAAGCTAATGCTGATGCACATGAACAGTTTTTTGCCGTTGTAGATTAAACATTCAATGTTTTTTTTACACGTTAACATATATTTGAATATATTCACATACATATTAACATATTAACATATATTCGAGGTCAGTTTTCCAGTGTCTCTTTCAGTAAATACTCCAGGCACAGAGCTGCCGCCACTGTTTTCCATTCCTAACAACCACCTGGAACCTGTTTAGACTACGACTCACATATTCACAGTCAGCCACATATCTAGAACTTCCAGTAGGACTACAGTGACAATTTTTGCTCGCAAAAAAAAAAAACTCCAGCAGTACTGCTGTGTCTGATCCACTCATACCAGCACAACACACACTAACACACCACCACCACGTCAGTGTTACTGCAGTGCTGAGAATGATCCACCACCCAAATAGTACCTGCTCTGTGAGGGTCCATGGGGGTCCTAACCACTGAAGAACAGGGTAAAAGGGGGCTAACAAAGTATCAGAGAAACAGATGGACTACAGTCTGTAACTGTAGAACTACAAAGTGCACCTATATAGTAAGTGAAGCTGATAAAATGGACAATGAGTGTAGAAACAAGGAGTTGGTCAGAATGTTATGCCTGACCGGTATGTTGATTTAGGCGTGCAGTTAGCACCATGCTAATTAAGCTTTTATTTACTGCAGGGGTGGGAATTACTTGAGTAACTTGAGTATTTAGTATTATTCCATATTCATTTATACCTTCAAAGTACAAAATTCAAAGCCCAGGAGTTTTTCGCTTGTCAATCAGTCGAGTTCCTGTACAGTTGAATGTACAGCTATGCTAATTTATCTCTGTGTTAGGACCTCACAGCGTAGTTACTTTATTAGCTTTCACTCAAGTATATTTCTGACTCAATCTGTCCACTTTTACTTGAGTAAAAATTTTATACCCATATTTAAACTTCAGTACAGTTTTTCTGTACATTTTCCACTCATATTTGTTTATTAGCTACATTAGCCTCATAGCTAAAGTGCTAAAACTAAAGGAGCCAACTTCAGACACCAAACACGTCTTGGCTGTTTGGCGTTTGTGATAAAGAGGGAAACTACTACTCTTCTCCTCCACTACTGAACCCTGTACTCTTAAAAAGAATGTTCTTCTAGGGTTCTTTAATAAAGACAATGGTTCTATGTAGAACCATGAACCATTTGCATGGTGCAATCTTCGGATTGAAGGACAGTGTGTTGTATATACTTCTCTGTAGAATCCTTTTGTAAATGGTTCTGGGATCGGCTATTTTTACAATATACCAAAGCAGAACCCCTTTTTTGGCGCTCTACAGAACCATTTTCAAAAAGGTTCTATGTAGAACTACATACATCAATCTGAAGAAATATTTCACCATGCAGAGAACAAATTAAGCCTGAAAATAGTTATATGAGCATTCATGGTTCTATACAGAATCACTGTCCTTACTAAAGAACACTTGAAGAACCATTTTTTTTATTTTTGTGTGAGCTAAACCCAGCCGACTGACCGGAGAGGAAGCTGCCGTTTCCACTGTCGGGATTCTGCTTGCGGAGACAGAACGGGCTGTCCTGGCTCTCTGGGATCACTCGGCTTCTCTCGTGCAGGAGCTCCATCAGCCGCCGCCGTCGCCGGAAATTCATCCGGAACTGGAAGAGGAGTCCGCCATCCGTGAAGTGGTGCTTGTTGGTGACTAAACATGTAGATGGTAAGCAGATTTAATTCATTGCACTATTATGATTCTCATAGGGTTAATAAAGTTGTTTACTTGCAGCAAACAGTGAGTTAACAGACAAAAACTCTAGTTCAGTTTTGTTCTTCATCCCCCAAAAGAGTCAATCATGATGGGTGTCTGATATGTTGCTTCATTAGTTTTGCACTGGAGCTATGAGGATAAAAATGCAGCTCAAAAAGCTTTATGAAATATTTTGATCAAAAAAGTAATAAAGTGTAAATGAAACTGAACAGTACAAAATAGCATAACATTAAAATAAAATGGCTGTTTAATAAAAGTAAAAAGGTAAAAGGTATAAAAACATCAGGAAAGCATTTAAATAAAAAATTAAAACAAAATCAATAAAACACAGGATTCTAGATTAATACTAAATAGCCACGTTTACATGCAGCCTGATAATCTGTTAATAATCCGACTAATAACTCAATCGGAATAGTCTAGTCCGATTGAGGCCATTCGGAATACAATTTCTATCCAATTGAACGAGGTGGGTAACCCTGTAAATAATCAGTTAAATAGAAGAATAATATCCGTGTAAACGCCTGTATCTGATTACATTCCCTATCTGAAAGTTTAAGTCCGTTCTGATCATGTTCGTCACGTCATAGTGAGAGTTTATACCGTTCAACATGGCGGAGCAGAAACTGGTCTGCAGAGGAGACGAAGTTTATGCTCTGATCTTTAAAAGACGGCGGTGGGACGGACGTCCAGCTTATGTGTCTCAGAACACGACGTCTTCCTTTCGCCGCTTCCTTTATAAGGACATGTGAAGGACGTTTTCCTGGGTCTGACATCATTTTAAAGCAATTAAAACACAAGCGCGTCAACTGGAAACTCATCTCACGCGGACTAGACCTCACGTGATGTTCGCTGTCATGGTAACGTTTACTCTAAGCGCTACTCCACGCATGCGCGTCATTTTGCATGGATTACTTGTAGTGAGCATGTAAACGAAGATTTTCCATCAGATTGGTGAGTAGAGTGTGCATATAAACACCTCAGTCTGAATCTGTAATCGGATTGTATTAAATCGGATTGGCAAAAATCTTTGCATGTAAACACAGCCAATGAGTGATATAAGAAATATTAACTACCAAAATGCTAAGCTAGCAGCTTAAAACAGTAACAGTGCCTAATAGTATCCTCTTTCTGCAGTGCCCCCTGGTGGCCATTCCGCTGGCAGAATAGAACTCGACTTGGATATTTTTAATCATTATAATGACATCATGAAATAAAATGTGTCCCCATAACTCTGTTCTCAGATGAACTAGGACACTGTTGTCTCTCGGTGTATGAAATATTGTGACTCTGTTGAGCTGCTAGTGAGCAATGAGGGGTGACAGAGGACTTGCTTGCTCACCTATGAAGGTGGAAATCTGGTTTGTTTCATACAAATCATAGAAATTTCCATTGGAAAATAATAATATGGCCTCGAAGCATGTGGAATGGTTTAATAAGCTCTAATAGACTTGACTATGTGGTTTATCTGTCATCTATAAACATGGGCTAAAGTGTACACTAAATTCAGGCTTCCAGATACTGCTGCTATTTTTAGCTGTGCAACATATGTACTTTTCCTTTAAACCGCCAGCTGAACCATGATGTGATAATGTACAGCCCTCGCCTCACTTTACGCATCTGAATAAACTCTTTCACTAGAAAGCATAACAGATCTTATCTGATATCTTTCCCAGAGATCAGAATGCAGAGATTTCAGAATTAGAAACAGGATGTAAGATAACTCAGTTAGGAGATCAGAGAGAGGAGCTTGTTTGTGTTACAGGACTTTAGTGATAGAGGAGTGTGTGTGTATACGGCCTCAGAGGAATGCAGTGTGTGTGTGTGTGTGTGTGTGTGTGTGTGTGTGTGTGTGTGTGTGTGTGGGAGTTGAGTCTTTCTCCTGCAGCTTCTTTCAGGACAAAGGCTGCTCCACACTGAGGCCCAGTCTGCTCAGCTCTACATTCTTTACTGCTAAACAACAATGTTGGCATTATTCGGACTCAAAGCAGCTCTGTGTGTGCGTAAACAATAAACAGTAAACAATATGGCAAACAATAAAGTGCAAGAAAGGACAATAACTACAAAAGACAAATACTGACATAATAACGACATAAGAAATGTAGACATTACTGAATAATTTATAGTAGATACTAAATTTATAGCGGTGGACGTCGTCTGAATGGCAGCATATGTGGCCAAAACATGTTTATATACCCATACCATGTGCACTAATGCCCCCTATACCATCATGAACACTGGCTTTTGAACTGTGTACTGATAACAAGCTGAGTGGTCTTTAGCCTGGAGGACAGTGTCCATGATTTCCAAAAACAATTTCAAACTTTGATTCATCGGTCCACAGGACACTTTTCCACTTTGCCTCAGTCCATTTTAAATGAGCTCAGGCCCAGAGAAGGTGGCAGCATTTCTGGATCCTGTTTATATATGATTTCTTCTTTACGTTTTAGAGTTTTAACTTGCATTTAAGTATGCAGCGACAAACTGTTTTCACAGACAGTGGTTTTCAGAAGTGTTTCTGAGCCCATGCAGTGATTTCCACTACAGAATCATGTCTGTTTTTAATGCAATGCTGCCTGAGGGCCCAAAGATCACTATTGTATTGTAGATGATGAAAAGCAAAATTTCTTTGCTTTTCGTAGTAGTTGCTGAATGATTCATAGTGGACATGGAATAATTTATAGTAGATACTAAATAATTTATAGTAGATACTGAATAATTTATAGTAGATACTAAATAATTTATAGTAGAAAATGAACAACTTGTAGTAGTTACTAAATAACTCATAGTGGCTTCTGAAAAATTCATAGTAGATACTGAATAATTCTTGGTATTATTAATATTTCATAGTAGATACTGAATAATTTATAGTGTTGAATTATACACTGTAATTATAAAGATTTCATAGCAGATAATGAATAATTTCTAGTAGGTAAAGAAGAATGTTATTTTCAGTCTGACTGAACTAAACCATTCACCATATTCACTGTCACTGCATTACAGAAGAAAATAAGGACCAGTCACTAAAACACAGTGGCCAATACTGTTTCACAACAAGTGCTACGAATGCTGCCAGGTAGCTAAGAGAGGGGGGGCTTCTTCAAACGGTCAGTTTCTACAGGTCAGAAATAATCATAACTACAGAATCCACACACTGGTTCCAGAGTAGTTACTGAATAATAAGTCTTAAGATTAATGAGTAAATAATAAACCCAAAGTTTTAGGACTTCATTTTGTTTGCACTCTGTTTTCTACTTGCAGTTTCTCACCAGCATAAAGCAAAGTGATTCGTGCAGAAATGACCTGATTCTGAAAAAGTTCAGCTCACTTTCACAACTAAACCTCTCTCAGCAGTGAAACAGGAAAGAGGAAGAGCTGAAGGTCGTGACCTCTTTAACATACCCCGCTGACATACACGCTGTGGACAAACAGAGCGGGCATTACATGCAAGACACGTATGGAACCACAAACAACGCTGTGTACAGTAAACAAGGTACACAGTAAACAGCACTGGCTGAGTTCCAGGCACTTATTGGAGACAACGGCTCACAGAAACCAAGTAGAACCAAAACAATTTTCAATTAGAATAAGCTCAAATATTCAAAAGGTCTATTAAAATAGGAAAAACTCAAGATATACGGTTGTATGAAAAAGTCTGAACACCCCTGGACAAATGACGTTTTGTTGACTTTCTAAGTTACAATAAGTGAACAGTTTCTCCACAGAGAACACACTTAATTATGACACTTCACTGCTGATTTTATTGCAAATGTACAACAGTTAGTTCCAGCCATGCAAGCTGATTGGTTGAGAAGCGTTCTAACTGTGCTGTTATTTCACCATAACATCACGTTTTTTACAGAAACACTGTATCACTCTGCTGAGACGCCCATTGCTAAGCAACGACTTTGACAGCTGTAGGAGACGCTCAAGACATTTGAACGTTTTTACTTCTTACTTTGCCACAAACAGAAAATGGACACTTTTAAGATCACATTTGACGACAGCTGATTTGGTCAGACTCTGAAGATGAGACGACACTAAATTCCCAAACTGTCATCACCACTGAGCAGCTTTTCAGTCGGCAGCTGTGACAGAAGAACAGCTAAACAACCTGGAATCAGCCAGAAATGAACCCAATACCATTCGCCAAACGTGTAGTCTGATCTTCAGAGTCTGACCAAATCAGACTGAGCCCTAAAACTGCTGCAATATCAAGTTTAGCTCAGTTTTGTCAGTCTTTGCCAGATCAGTATTAATGTTGTTTTGTTCCAGCCAGTCTGTAAAGCATCTTACAGCCCATTTAGTTTGGCGAATGGTGTTGGGTTCATTTCCGGCTGATTCCAGGTTGTTTAGCTGTTCTTCTGTCACAGCTGCCGACTGAAAAGCTGCTCAGTGGTGATGACAGTTTGGGAATTTAGTGTAAGGAGCTGGAGAACGAACTGCCGGCTGTGCAGCGAGTGGGCGGAGCTCGTTACTCTGACATAGCAACAAGCTGCTCGTTAAGGAACTATAATTTGGTGAAGGAACTGCGAACATTAAAACATATTAAACGCCGCGTTCACGGCCCAGTTTATTAATTTATTACTGTATTTATTTAACTGTTGTATTAAAGCAATAGAACACTCGAGGAGTGTGTTATCACCAATAACATCACGGCTGTGATGATCTACGGCGACCAAATCACAGCCGTGATGTTATTTCACGATAACACTCTCCCTCTCGTGCTCTATTGCTTAAATTTCTAATTTTTATTTACTAACGTGTTATATTAACGTGTTGGAATAAAAAACGTGAATATATTAGTTGGACTGTAGGTTTAATTGCATTGTGTGCATGTTATACTATCTGTATTTTATCATTATTGGTGACCCACAGTTTTATCTGTATTACCATTTTGCAGATATTTTTTGACAGATTTTGCTAAAACCGTGAGTTGTTGCAATCAAAAACAATAATAAAAAATGCAGATAATACCAATAAAACTGTGATAAACACAGATAAAAGTATTATTGGTTATCTGTGATTTTCAGTGATGTTGATAAATCTACAGGTCATCAACACCAATAAATCTGTGAGCTGACCACTAGAGATTAAGAATAAGGCCTAATCGATATATCAGTAGGCACGCAGTATTGATGATGTGAGTTTTGGTATTGATGACCTGCGGTTATATCGACACTGGTACTGCAGATAACCATCAAAACTACAGTCATTATCAGCCAATACAAATTTTGGACAGAGTCTGACCGATATATCAGTTGACCCACAGGTTTATTGGTATTATCAGTATTTTAAATTATTCTTATTGGTATTCACAACTCACAGTTTTATCAGTCATTAAGCATAGGGCCCAACGTCTATTTCAGTATTATGAATTTTATCTGTATTATCTGTATTATTACTATTATTATTTGTATTTTATCGTTATTGATGCCCCACAGTTTTATCGGTGTGATGTTACTGCTAATATTTTTGATATCAATAATAACAGTATTGGCCAATACAGATTAATCACAGGGCCCAACAGGTATATCAGCAGACCTGCGCTTGTATCATTATTATTGGTATTTTTTATTATCGGCATTTACTGGTGACCCACAGTCGCCATTGGTAAGCCATGGTTTGACCTGCATCGCTGAAAGCTTCAGATAACGAATAAAACTGTACGTCATCAATATTAGCCAATATAGGTTAGGGCCCTATTCTTAATCAGCAGAAATAGGGTCAATAACGTGCGATAATTAGCAAGTTTTTTTGTTACGGCACCACAGAGATTCAAACTCAGACAGCTGTGTCAGTCGGGAGCCAAATATAAGGCACAGTCTGGTTCTAATAAAGGACTGCAGGATTTGTTAAAAAGCTGCGTCAGTGTGAAATGAGCGAGATGTTTCGGATGCTCTGTCCTCCCTCAGAGTCTCAGAGAGCAGGTTAAAATAATGAGGCTAGTGTTTCTTCAGCACAAGTCCGTGACACGTGCCGTCCAGACGCCGTAATCAGGAGACAGCACGAGTTCCTCACGGACTCTCAGACCATGAAAAACGCGTCAGTGTGCTGCTGGATTCTTTGCTGTCTATTGTATTTGTAGTAGGAGTCATTTTACAAAGGAATAATACGATTTTAATCTTGTTATAAATAATAGGATTATAGAAAATCTAAGATTATCCCGTTAAAATGAAACTAAATTTAATTACATAGTCATGACATTCATTAAGGATACATACACCCACAGCTAAAATAGGTCTAAACATCTTCATGAACAAATACAAACCTCTCTGGCAAAGTTCGAATCTTTTCGAGACAAGATTTCGCCTGTTATAATGTACAGACCACATACACTCAGCATCAGTTGTAATGTAGTATCTTGTGTTGTCAAGTGTATTTGATTTTTTACAGAAATTAGGGATAAGGGTCGTCCACACGTTGACACTGCTTTCAAGGGAATGGCTGAAGAACAATGCAAAATCTTCTGGACCACAAAGAAAGCCCACATAGAGCTGCTCATATGCTGGCCGGAAAGGCAAAGCAAAACCCCCATATGACAGCGAAGGCCCTGCAGATGGTGCATGCCTTTATTTTCAGACTGCAATCAGGAAACTTATGTCTTGTTGAAGGTGAGCCAGAACAGAAAAGACCAGGAGAGATGGATTATTCTTTTTTTATGATTTTAAATTAGTGCTCATAATTTCTTGTATAACTGTATTATTATTATTATTATTATTATTATTATTATTGATTTGATCTAATATCCCTGATAGCAAGAGGATAGTGGACCACTGTCAGCCCACTGATGGCAAAGCTGGTGGTCCACTGGCGTTTTGCTCAGTGTTTTCTGGGCGGCCCACCAGTGGTTAAGCAAAGTATTAGACAAAATTCCACTAATCATCGCTTATTTTCCATTTACAGTCCAATTTACTGATTTTTCCTTCCTTCCTTCTTTAGTTACACTTTGTAAATTAGTTTAGTAAATAATTTTAATCCAGCTCAGTGTCAGAAACAACATTTACTATAAAATAATTTTATATCAAACCTAGTCATTATTTTTTTTCTCTCTCTCATTTGTTTGTAATATTTGTCTTAGTTTAAGTCTCTGTGTATTTAAAATCTGTTTGGGGAGATTAACTAATTAAAGTTTGTATGCAGGACAGTAATCTGGGTGGTCCGAGGGTGGACCAGCAGTGGCAAACAGTCAGTGGGGTGCCGACCTTATCAAGCCAGTGGACCGATATATGCTCGCTATCTGGGATTATATATATTTTTTAAAATAAGGCATATAAACCTCAAACCTTTTAAAGTGATGGTTCAATATGGACAATATTAGCATTTTAAGATGCTGCTCCTGTTTTCAGCTACGCTAATGTACTTTAGTCCATGTTTATAGATAACAGTGATTCATACAGCATCAGAAACCACATCATCAAGTCTATAACAGATATGAACACCTCCACACACTCTGAGGAAGCTGCGTCATGACTTGCGTGATGCTAATTGGTATATGCTTCCATTACTTGTTAGCAAAATTAGCCTCATATCTCCAGTGCAAAGCTACACTCTTCACACTCACCGTGCTGAATGATGCCGTGCTCCAGCAGTCTCCGCCCCAGCTGCTCCGCCTCCTCCCTGCTGGCCATCTCGCCCTCCTGCAGGAGCCAATCAATGAACTCGGAAGCCACCAGCGTCCGTTCGTACGACACGCCCTCCTCTTCACGAGTCTGAAGCAGGCTGCTTTCAGCGTTCATCAACCTGGACACATGAATATATATATTTATATATATTTATGTAAATATATGTTACTTTTAAAGGTGTTTCTTAATAAAATTCTGCTTGATTAAAGGAATAGGTCATTAAAAATTCTAATTTAGATCATTTCTCCTCTTACATATATATATATGTATATATTTTAATAATAAATAAATATTTAAAAAATAATGAAGTATTAAGATCTTAGACAATTACAAGGATTCTTTTCTGATCTGTTTAAACCCAAGACATTAATAGAGAAAGCAATAAGTTAAATATATACAAGATCATCATTTATAGGGTATGTTCTATTAGGAGGTGTCTGTCCCAAACCCTCAAGGCTAAATTTACACTTTTGAAAATAATACTTACATTTTTTCTAATTATTTGGATTTCTTTGTTTTAAAACAGAACAGTAGAATAAAAGCCTGGAGACGAGACGGGGTGTGTGGAGTCAGTACAGCTTAGAACATATCATTTCAGTGGATTATGGTTCAGTTATGTTCCCTGACTAAAGGTACTGAGATGGACCCTTGAGGGTCCCACCCCAGTGACAAGAGGGGCACTGACCCAGAGACAGTTTAGTACCTTTATTTCTGAAAGTATAGATTAAAATGTTGTAACTGCAGTGACTAATTTTGATTAGTACATCATGTGTATATCATTTCCACGTGAATGAAATGCATCCACACGATTTTGACTTTCAATCATATATTACATTAATAACTGTGTTGAGGATCTGATGTACATCACTCACGTGGAAATGATCTATACAATGCAGGAAATGCTGTGATCTGTGATAAAGTAATTAGAACTGCTGAAGCGCGATGCAGATAAACACAATGCACTGTAACTGTAGCCGTTTAAGATAAGCCACAACTGTAGTTCTCGGTTTGAGACCGCAGCTAAACACAGAGGGAACTTCCTAGGAAAAGCTTTTCCAGAAAAGCAAAAGCAGCCGTCGCTGACACCCCTGCGCCTGTCAGGAGCTCGTTAAAGCACTCATGTGCCGGTCTTACTCTTTATGCAGCTGAGATGTAGCCCGAACGTGTTTCATTATACTGTAACCCCCGTATGTATGATGACAATAAAGCTGAACTGAACTGAACTGAATGTTCCAGAGCACTTCAGAACGACGTTAACAGACATTTTCATACACTCTTAAAAAAGAAGGCTCTTCAAGGGTTCTTTAGGAAAGAAAGAACATGGAACACTTCAAGAACCTGTTGCATGGTTAAAGCGTTCTTTGCATTGTGAAGGCGTTCTTCAGATTGATGGAAAATGTGCTCTAGATGGGTTCTATATAGGGTTCTATATAGCAACAAAAGAGTTCTGCTGTTGTAGTATTGTATTGTATTGCAGATTCGTACTGGATTCAAATCATGATATCGTCAGTGATCACTCAGATTACAGCACTTTCCCAGATTAAACTAATCCAGCTCCAATAGGGTTCAAGATTAACCTCTACCAAAACAATAGAAAGGCGAAAGTGTGGAGACAGAAAAGAGAGAATTATAACTAGAATAGTGCATTTCCTGAAGAACATCCAGGGTGATTGCGCAGCTTAAGCTTGCTAACATGTTGTTAGGCAGTTGCTATTGTATCCCAGGTGGTTGCTGAGGTGTTTCTAGGTGGTTTCTATGTTATCCCAGGTGGTTGCTAAGGTGTTGCTAGGCGGTTGCTATGGTATCCCAGGTAGTTGCTAGAGTGTTGTTAGGCAGTTGCTATGGTATGCCAGATGGTTGCTAGGTGGTTGCTATGGTATCCCAGGTGCTTGCTGAGGTGTTGCTAGGCAGCTGCTACGATTTCCCAGGTAATTGCTAGGGTGTTGTTAGGCAGTAGCTATGGTATTCCAGACGGTTGCTAGGTGGTTGCTATGGTATCCCAGGTGGGTGATAGGGTGTTGCTAGGCGGTTGCTATGGTATCCCAGGAGTTTGCTGAGGTGTTGATAGGCAGTTGCTACAATTTCCCAGGTAGTTGCTAGAGTGCTGTCAGGCAGTTGTTATGGTATCCCAGATGGTTGCTAGGGGGTTGCTAAGTGGTTGCTGGTGGTTGCTATGATATCCCACATGGTTAATTGGGTGTTCTAATTGAAGGTTTTTCCGAAAACCATGTGTCCAGTCAAAAAGTTGTATTCAAGCACACCATTCCCAATCAGACCGAACATTCTGGAGTCGGAATAGTGCAGATATCTCAAAAACTGCGGGACGAGTTAACGTACAAAAATTCCAGCAGAAAAATAAGATCCGAAAAGAAGAAGAATAAGAATATGAAATGTATACCCATAGTGTCACAATAGTGGAATCAGACTGGCCTCCGAGAAAAATAATACACCCCTTTGTTGTAGGACGGCTACACAATGTGTATCATAAAATGACAATAATAAGTGGTAAGCAAAACCACATGTTGAGAATATTTCTCCGAATTCCATCCCTCCTGTTTCAATAAGGGCAGTGTTGGTATCAGATTACACCAGACTGTAAATATAAAAACAAAGTAAATGTAAAATTGATGATGTGCACAGAAGGTCATGTTTAAGCACAAGCGAGTAGCATAATCTTATCTGCATATCAGTCGACTGCCAACGTAGTGAATACAGGCTCCTTATCACACATGAACACTGTGTTCAGCTGAGTCTCTCCAGGTGTGCTGGTCTACCTGACCTGCAGCTGAGCAATCATATCTTAATGACTGACCTTAAAGAGGGCAGATATGCTACACTGACCTACTTTATACCTGCAGCACTTGTTCCAGGCCGTAGTTTTTGGCCATTTAGTGAGTGGAGGAGTTAGTGTGGAACTCTGTCATTAATTAATCTGATGTAATTTTAGGCACAACTCTGAATATAGTAAATCATTCACTATATCAATGAACAGCAGCTGTGGCTGAACAATACAGCATCACGACAAACCTTTTAATAAAACACGGTAATTATGTTAAGTATAAGAATGTATAAGTATGTAGATACTATACACTGGTCTTTGTTGTTTACAGTCTTTCTATTGGTCCAGTTCAGAGTTCTAGAAGGACAGATTATACCAATCATATACTGAGAAAAGACTATTGTGACAATTTATCACAACAGCTACAGAGAAAATGGGCCTCCTAGCAACCACCTGGAAGAGCTGGTAGACACCCAAAACTGCCCCCATCAGATAAACAGCACTTAAAGCTTTCATCTCTGAGAGAGAGGAGAAAATCAAGCTGCTTCAGATCTGAAAACATCCACAGGTGTTTCTGTCCATCCTTCCACTGTGAGAAGACGACTCAGCGCTGTGGGTCTGAAAGGATGTGTAGCTGTCAAGAAGAACCTCACTGAGAAAAGGAGACGGACACATCAAACAAAGAAGCTGAACGATGGACTGACCACCCCAGAGTCCAGACCTCAACACCACTGAATGTGTTTGATTACTTCAGAAAATGAACAACCAGCTTCTAAGACTGAACTTTGGAGGAGTGGAAAAATATCCCTGCAGATTTCAATGAAAATATTAAGGAGTTCACAAATTCACACATCAAGTTCTCTGTGTCTGTATCTTTGTGATGATCCAGCTGAGAAATCCAGTTCAAACACTTCCTGAATCTGTAGAGTCGCCCTTTCCATTCCATCTTATCTCGAGATCATACGACACTCACATCTGGAGTTATGAGCCTATGAAGAGGGGCTGAGATACACGTCATCTGCCTCTCACCGTGTGGAACTGGTGGATTGGTGTGTCCGAATGTGTCCGAGGATGTGTGAACTTATTTTCACATAGAAATTCAACAACACATGGAGTTTGATCAGGGATGCAAATGTTTGCACACGACTGTACATTTAGCTGTTGAGGCTTCGGCATAATTTTCTTGTAAATGGGTCATTCTACAGAAACATCCATTTTTGTGTCCCTAGCATTTACAGATATATTACAGTTAAGAAACATCTTACGGTTACAATTTAGTTATATTTTAAAATAAAACAATAAGTTATTTTAACAGTTACACCTTCTTACGCCTCAATTTAGCAATATTGGTTTTTAAATCAGTCATATAGAATTCCAAGCACCACAGAAGAGCTCGTCCCCACAGTCATGTCATATTTTGAAGAAAAAAACGTTTTTCTGCAATTTTAACTGCAATAATCTATACATGACTATGGAATATATGAATTAAATGACATAAAGAAAAAAAAAGCCAAATAAATATTATAAAATATATAATAAAGACTCCCCAGGAGTTGTGTCACTGGTGTTACTGCGTAACAAAAAATCTCTTATTTTGAAATAAAAGTCACACTGATGACATCACTGGACTTCCTTTTACCCGTTTTCTGAGGATCTATGAAGAAAAGCTCATGGTGAGTCCACTGTGTCTTTCAGTTATCAGAGATTTTCTCATTTAGCTCATGATTTCATATGAAGCTTTTAGCTGAAGTCACTGGTGTGACCGACTTTATTCTGAGGTCACTGTGAAAAAACAGAACACAAATGGATTAAATTTCATATTTTTAGTGGAGATTCCATGATTGACAACATGTGGTTTGATGCTCTGTAGCAGCCATTCTGTAAAATGCATGTTTCATTAAAAATGTCTCTGGTGTTCCTTTATTATGTGGAACACCAATGAGGATCAGTTACACCAGTGACTCCTATGGAGAGACAGAGAAGTGGACGTTTCTGTAGAATGACCCAAATGTATGTTTTCTGGAAAAAATGAACAACTTGTACTTAAAGTCCGTTTTGACTGGAAATGAAAGGAATGAAAGGGTTGACTCCGACTTTCGCACAGTGCTGTATATCATCATATCGGCCACCCTTCATAATAACCGTTAAAAATAGCAGACGAGCCTGAGAACATTCCTCTCAGCAGTCTGAGAACGTTTAGCAGTAAGCAGTCATTAACCTACATACAATTACTATACATTTCTCCTTCCTCTGCTGTTTCCAATGTAAAGAATGTCCTCTCGTGTTGAACTTGTGGTCAGCGACTGAAGTGAGCTGGATGGTACAGCACCATATGGAAA